CGCGCGATCGAGCAACGGGAGCGCGATCGCGTAATTGGATGTTGTTTTCAGTTTTTCTGTTTTTTCCACTCTTCCACTTTTCCACTTTTCCTTTAGTTTCTGGTGTTTTTAGGTTCATCATTTTTTCCCTTTTTCCACTTTTCCGTTTTTTTCTCTTGTTTCCTGCTTTTCCATTTCCCAATTTTTCAGTTTCATTTGGCGTTGTCAAATTTTTCATTTTTATCATTTTTCCCTTTTTTCGTTCCCTCTTGCGTTTCTCCTTTTTTCCACTTTTCCATGTTTCCACTTTTCCGATCCCGTCTGCGTTCTTCCATTTTTCCGCTTTTCCAGTTTTCCACTTCACGATTTCTGGGTCAGACATTTTCGCGCTAACGGAACGAATCCAAATTAGTTTCCCAAGGTAGAAGTAGTAGTAGTAGTAGTAGTAGTAGTACTAGTAGTAGTAGTAGTAGTAGTAGTAGTAGTAGTAGTAGTAGTAGTAGTAGTAGTAGTAGTAGTAGTAGTAGTAGTAGTAGTAGTAGTAGTACTAGTAATAGTAGTAGTAGTAGCAGTAGTAGTAGTAGTAGTAGTAGTAGTAGTAGTAGTAGTAGTAGTAGTAGTAGTAGTAGTAGTTAGTAGTTAGTAGCTAGTAGTAGTTAGTAGTTCGTAGTTAGTAGTTATAGTATTAGTAGTGAAGTAGTATGAGTAAGTAGTCAATAGTAGTAATCGTAATAGTATTAGTAGTAGTTAAGTATAGTCGTATCGTGTCCGTAGTCGTAGTCGTAGTCGTAAGTCGTAGTCCAGTCCGTAGTCGTAGTCGTAGTCGTAGTCCGTAGTCGTAGTCCGTAGTCGTTGTCGCAGTCGTAGTCGTAGTCGTAGTGGTCGTAGTAGTAGTAGTAGTGTAGTAGTAGTAGTAGTAGTAGTATCCGTAGTAACTAGTGAGTAGTAGTAGTAGTCAATAGTAGTATTGTAGTAGTGAGTAGTAGTAGTAGTGTCGTATTAGTAGTAGTGTAGTATATTAGTAAGTTCAGTGTTAGTTTTCGTGTCATGTTCGTAGGAGTAGTAATAGTACGCGAGTCAGTAGTAGTAGTAGTAGTAGCCAGTAGTAGCAGCAGAGGAGTAGTAGGTGTAGTAGGTAGGTAGGTAGGTAGGTAGGTAGGTAGGTAGGTAGGTAGGTTGGTAGGTGGTAGTAGTAGTAGTAGTAGTAGTAGTAGTAGTAGTAGTAGTAGTAGTAGTAGTAGTAGTAGTAGTAGTAGTAGTAGTAGTAGTAGTAGTGGTAGTCGAAGTCGTAGTAGTAGCAGTAGCAGTAGTAGTAGTAGTAGTAGCAGTAGTAGTAGTAGTAGTAGTAGTAGTCGTCGTCGTAGTCGTATACAGTAGTAGTAGTAGTACTAGTAGTAGTAGTAGTAAGTAGTCAGTGTAGTATAAGTAGTAGTATTAGTAGTAGTAGTAGGTAGTAGTAGTTAGTCGTATTCGTAGTAGTATTAGTAGTTTAGCAGTAGTAGTCGGAGTAGTAGTAGTATAGGTGAGTAGTAGTAGTAAGTAGTAGTAGTAGTAGCAGTAGTAGTAGTAGCAGTAGCAGTAGCAGTAGTAGTAGTAGTAGTAGTAGTAGTAGTAGTAGTAGTATTAGTGGTGGTAGTCGTGGTAGTAGTAATGATATAGTAGTAATGGTCGTCGTCGGCGTCGTCGTCGTAGTAGTAGTAGTAGTAGTAGTAGTAGTAGTAGTGGTAGCAGCAATAGTAGTAGTAGTAGTAGTAGTAGTAGTAGTAGTAGTAGTAGTAGTAGTAGTAGTAGTAGTAGTAGTAGTAGTAGTAGTAGTAGTAGCAGTCGTAGTAGTCGTAGTAATCGTAGTCGTAGTAGTCGTAGCAGTCGTAGCAGCCGTAGCAGTCGTAGCAGTCGTAGTAGTCGTAGTAGTCGTAGTAGTCGTAGTAGTCGTAGCAGTCGTAGTAGTCGTAATCGTAGTCGTAGTCGTAGTCGTAGTCATTGTAGTAGCAGTAGTCGTAGTAGTAGGAAGTGGCGGAGGAGGTGGAGGAGGAGGGGGAGAAGGCAGAGCAGGAGAGGAGGAGGACGGAGGAGGAGGAGGGGAGGAGGAGGAGGAGGAGGAGGAGGAGGAGGAGTAGGAGGAGGAGGAGGAGGAGGAGGAGGAGGAGGAGCACGAGGAGGAGGAGGGCGGAGGAGGAGGGCGGAGGAGGAGGAGGAGGTGGAGGAGGATGTGGAGGAGAAGAAGGAGGAGGAGGAGGAGGAGGGAAGGAACGGTGCTGGTGCACAGACGGCGTCCTCCAGCAAGGGCGTTCGTCTCCGCGCCCGCCCTGTCCCCGAAGGGGCGGGCGGGCGCCCTTCTCGCGCGGGCGGCCCGAGCGGGTCGGCCGCCGCCGCCCAGCTCGGTCCCACGCGTGGCGGCGTTGGGGCCCCCTCGTTTCTGCCTCCCTTCTGCTCGCTCCCTCGCTTCTTCCCTGCTTCCTCCCTCCTCCCTTCCTGCTTCCGCCCTCCTCCCTTCCTCTCTCCTTGTTTCCTCCCCCCTCCTTTCCTCCCTCCCTCGTTCCTGCCTCCCTCCCTGCATCCTCCCTGCCTCCCTGCCTCCCTCCCTGCCTGCCTCGCCTCTTCCACTCGTCGCCTCGTCACCTCATCACCTCGTCACCTCGTCCCTCCGTCCCTCCGTCCTCTGTCCCTCGTCCCTCGTCAATTCCTCTCTCCCCCCTCCCTCCCTCCCTTCCTTCCTCCCTCCCCCCTCACTGCTTCAGTTCCTCGCTCCCTCCCTGGGGGTCGGGCAGGAGAGACGAGGCGTTGCCACCGCGTGGCAGGTTTGGCGAGTGCAGCGAGGCCAGAGCTGGCGGCGGCGCGACTGCTCGGGCCGCGCGCGTTTCGGAGATGCCGAAAAGCAATGGCAACATGTGGAACATGGCGGGGAACGCCTGCAACCGCCTCGTCGCCGAGCGCATGGAGATGCGTAAGCATGAGGCGCACCTGCGGGCGCTGGAGAACACCCGGGGCGCGGTGGACAGCAAGAAGCCCAGGAGGGGGCGGAAGGGCGCAGCTCGGCGAATCGCCTCTCTTTGTCTCCTCGGTGTCGGTCTCCGTGCCCATCCCTGTCTTCACGATCTATCCACATTTCTTTCTCCGTTTTCTCTTCATCGTCATCTCCGTCTCCATCATCGTCCTCATCTCTGTGTTCATCTCCGTCTCTCTCTACGCCCCCGTGGATCATGGGACTCCCCATGCACCACCAGTCCTCGCCCCGCGTGATGACCCTCTAGCCTTTGAGGAGGAGGAGCAGGAGGAGGAGGAGGAGGAGCAGGAGGAGGAGGAGGAGGAGGAGGAGGAGGAGGAGGAGGAGGGGGAGGTGGAGGAGGAGGAGGAGGTGGAGGCGATGGAGGAGGCCGTGGTGGGTGTGGGGGAGAAGGTAATTAGTGGAGGACCCAGCCTTTCTGGGCCTCGGGCTCCATCTTGACTAGGTTTCCTGTCGTGCTCTCCCATGCCGCCCCCGTTCTGCGGGCTTGTGTCCAGGTCCGCTTCCCCTTTCAAGGTTTGTGCATCGCGTTTCGGTGAACGCTAGGTGGTGTCAGCTTAGTGGTGCAAGCTATGTGGTGTAAGCAGCTATGCGGTGTAAGCTTGGCGATGCAGTGTATGTCGTGTAAGGTATGTGTGTGTGGTAAACTATGCGGTGTAATATATGTTGTGTAAGGTATGTGGTGCAAGCTATTTGGTGTGAGGTCTGTGGTGTAAGTTCTGTGATGCAGTGCATGTTGTGTAATGTGTTTGGTGCAGTGTACGTTGTGTAACGTGTGTGGTGTGGTGTACGTGGTGCAAGCGATGTGGTGCTAGCTAGGTGGTGTAATCCACCTTGCAGAGCAGAGCTTGAAACCGTCAACTCCACTGCTCGCGCAATCGTCCCATCCTCACACTCGCAACCTGTTTTTGAACTACCCATGCGTCCGCGATTGCGATGACTACTTGGCACTGGCTGGTGCATCCCTGCGACTGCGCTAGCGCGCGCAAGGTCGCGCGCAGAGCCTCCAGCTGGTTTGGCACAGCCGACGCGATCGCAATGGCGCTTACCGATGGGGCGCTTCAGTGCGAATCGGTGATTTGGGTGGGCGCGTTATCTTGATGATGACGTCGACAACGACGGCAACGACGGTGATAGTAGCGATTGTGGTGGCGATGATCAAGATGACGACGGTAAGGCCAGTCATGGCGCCGATGCTGGTGACGATGATGGCGACGGTGGTGTGCATGTGTCGTTGGTGAATGTAATTATCTTATGACGGCGGCAGTGGTGGCGATTGTCGTTGCCGACAACATGATGTGGCGGCGCTGATGAGGGTCATGGTGAGGACATGTGCGCGCGGAAAAGCAAGACACTTGGCAGAGTTTTGTTGAAACGACAGCTGGCTTGAACATGTAATGGCTCTATCATGACTTTCTTTGGAAACGAACGGTTGTGGACAGATTTCGACGCGCGCGCGTGGCGGCTAGCGCCTGTGGCCCGAATGGTCTTATTTGATACGGATTCGCGTGCTGCGCGCATCCTGGGTCAACGCACGGTGTGATGAGAATGCGGATTTTGGATTGCTATACTCAAATGGTTTCGTATAGCGGTTTTAGCAAATGCGCGCGGGCAGAAATTTCAACGAGACTCCCGGATGGTTTTTGGCTCGAAGGTTCTCACAGAGTTCAACCGCTTGCCGAAATCTCCACGACGGGGGCTGCGGGCAGGCGCCTCACTAGTCCGGCGGCGCGTGCCGCCAGCGTTCAGAATGGTGTTTCGGCCCGTTTCGGTCCAGTTTTTCGCCTCACTATTGTGTTCTGGCTCGCTTTCGTTTGACCTGCATGTCTCTTACTTAGGGCTCGAATGCTGTTTGTTTAACATCTGTTTCTATCACTTGCCCCTCTTGCTGTGGCTCGAATCCTACGCGTTCTATTTTCTATTGCGAATGTTCTGGGGCTCGAATCCAGTGTGTTTTACGTATGCGCCTTTGGATTGCCCCTCTCCTGTGGCTCGAACCATATGTGTTTGTCTGCGTGGCTCTGGCGCGATTGAATTTTACATTGCCGCTAATGACGTACTTCGCGTCTTCTGGCGAGGTCTATGGCGTCAGGCTTCCAATGCCGCAGCTGCCGCATCCACTGTTCTCGCTGCGCCCTCTGGTTTTCTCGGGCTACTAGTCGCTAGTTTTGTCGCTGCCACCGACCATTTGGTCGCTTCCCTCCTCGACGGCTGACCCGCTACCAGGTCCGTTCGTCTCGAGGCCGCCCGCCGAAACGTTGTCACTTCGCAGTGGCTTGTGCATGGGTGCGGCGTCGTCGTCTTATACGGCGACCAGGTGGGGCACGCCGCCTGAGGCGGCGCCGCTAGGGCGCGTGGGTGGGGCCGGCCCATCTTGGGCCTCCCGGCGCGCGGGCGTCAGGGCCTCGCGTGGGGACAGCTCGCTTGCTAGCGCGAGAATGCATCCGCTTATTCTCCGTGACCGCGCCCCAACTGTCCGTGCAGCTTCTCCGCCCCCCGCCCATTCCACCCACCTTTACCAAGGCTGACTCGGCGCGGCATCGTCTTGCACGAAGACCAGATTGAGCACGCCACCGCAGGCGGCGCGGGCTCGGGCGCGCGGGGAGGGCTGGCCCATTTTGGGCCTTCCCGCGCGCGCCAGGCAGGGCCCCGCGCGGAGACAGCGCGCTTGCATGTGAACGGGAAAAGGTCCGCTCCCCCTGCCGCCACCTCCATTCTTATCCTCGTTCTCTTGCACTGATCCCTCCTCTTTCCCATCGTCAACCGCCTCCTGCTGATCATCTTCCCGTTCTTCGTCGTCGCCGTCCTCCGCTTCCTCCTCCTCCTCTTCCTCCTTCTCGTTCAACTGTTTAGTGAAGGGGCGACGTGTCGTAGAGGCGTGCCAGGCGCCCCTGTTGGAGCTCTGCCATGTCACCTGGGCTTTCCTTGCCCCGCCTCGCCGCCGTGCCCCGGTGCGCGCGCTGCATCCTTCCTTGTCATCGTGCTGGGCGCTTCTTCCTTCATTTTTTACGCCGATGGTCCTGCCTGACCTTACCCCCGCTTCCTTCCTTGCCCTCTCGTCGTTGTCGTCGTCGTCGTCGTCGTGATCGTCGTCGTCGTCGCCACTGAAGTGGCCTGCGCTTCCTCGTCCACGTCCGCTTTACTTCTGGCTGCTCCCCGCCCTCGCTGCCCGTGCCCCTGGTGTGCGCGTGGCGCGGTTGATCCATGTTGGATCCTTGCCCCTTCTCTTGAAGGGCCGGCCGCGCGCGTTGCTAGTCCGTTGTGACTAAGTCTCTCCGCCTCGTCGCTGCGCGCCAGGCCGCGACCGCCAAAAGTGTATGTGCGCGTGTGTTTGTGTGAGCGCGCGTGTGTGTTTGCGCGAGAGTGGGCGGGGGCGTTCGCGCGCAAACTCCATAGAAACCCCGCGCACCGCTCCCCGACGGCAGGCAAGCAGGTCCCCCAACACGCCCCTTGCTCCGCGGCCCCCTCCTAGTTCGGACCCGGATTGGAATGGTTCCCCGGAACGGCGGATCCCTGCCAACCCAGCTCCCCAGAATACCGAGGCGGCTCCACTCAGCCCGCGCGGATCCCTTCCGCGCTGCGGACGGACTCCCAGACCCAAACCCAAAACGCGGGCCCGCACTACAGGCAAAGCAGTCCGAAGGAGGCGCGCCCGCCAGCGCCACCCAGGAACCCGCGCGCAAGACTCCTCGCGTTACCGAACACCACAGCCCACTAACGACGGGAAGTGGCGACAGGAACGACCCACCCCACCTGGAAGCGACCTGCCCCAGCGCCACTCAGGTCCGTCTCATCGGCACTGCAATTTTGCTTGGCGACTATGGGATCGCGACGACAGGCTGTACAACAATCCATTAACTGGCATCCGGGCTGGAAGTACCATGTTTAACGCCAGGACTAATGACATGAGGTGGTCGACCGCCTCAAGAAAGAATGTGGCTCCATGTTGGTCATCGTCTGGAACGCCGTTCGCGACCGCCGTATGGGCAGACACGGGTCCACCCAGAACCCAAGCCCCCTGCCAATCGAGTTTCGCAAAGATTTTCTCACCCAACTCAGCCAGGTCGACCTCGACGAGTGCACCAGTTCGGTGTGGCCCTGCGCCTAGCCCCCCTGCAGCAAGGGCGCGTCAGCTCAGACAGGTCCCTGTCCCTCCCCCCCTCCGCATGGCGTCTTGCCTTGCCTCTTAACATATTTCAGTGCACCTGTTCGGTGCCACCCCCTTCCTTGCCCGCTATCAGTGCACTTGTTCGGACCCCCCAGCGCGCCGCCTCTGGCGACTCGCGCTCTCCACAACAGGGTCTCAACGACGAGTTCCCCCAGCTCCTCTCACCGCGTCGCGCCCCGTTCCAGGGAAGGCCGCCGCAATGTTGTCTATCGTTTGTCGCTCCCTTGCGCTCCTTGGAGGTGAGGATCGACCGCTGACTCATCCGTTGCTTTGAGACCCGTGCGCCAGTGCCCCGTCTTCAGGGTGTTCGCACCAGCCTCGGCGCCGGGTGGGCTGGTCTTGCCGCCCGCCCCTGGCGCCCGCCCTGTCGCTCCCTCCCGCCCATGCGCCCCGCCCCGGCCGCGAGCTTGGGCTCCGCCGTTGCGTCTGCCCCACCCTGCCGCCCCCGGGAGGAGGCCCCTGCCCCCGCTGTTGCATCCTCTGTTCGGCTGCGGCCGTGCAGGTTGGATCGCCGGCCTTTTGCAGGATTTTGACGCCGGGCCTCGCCCGCTGCCTCTCCCCCTGGCTGCCCCTTCGCTTCTCTGAGGTGCTGGTTCTGCGCCGCAACGCCCTTGCCTGGTTTTCAGGCCAGCCCACCCAGGCCCCCGCTTGGGGCCTGTGGGTGCTTGGCAGGCCAGCCGAGGCCACCCGCGACCTCGGCATCCCCCGCCCCTCTTTCTGCCCGCCCCGCGGGTCTGCCTCCCCCGGGCAGGCGCCCTTCGTTCGCATGACGCCTGCCGTGCTCGCCGGCCAGTCTGATCGCCGACGGGCTTAGTCGTTTCGCTTCAGTTGCCCTGTAGGCCACC